ATACAAATTTGTTTTTAATCATTTTGCGTAAAGTCAAAATTGGTATTAAATGTTTAATTGTTTGCAATAAAAGTCACAACAAATTTTTTTTTAAAATTTAGTGGATTTTTGTCTTTCTGTTTGTGTATGGTTTTTATGTACTGTATTTTTTTCAATGGCTCTATTTATTTAGGTTATGAGTATTTTATTTTCAATGTGGCATGACTTAGTTGCCTTGAAACCAAACTCCCTTCACAGATCACATATATTTGCTCCCACTCAATCATTATGTCTGTACTTAAATGAAGAAATGATACAGTACAAACAATAGTTAACTGTACGGGTACCAACAAGGAAGGTGAGAAAGTAAAAGGAGACAAATGGCAAAGGAATGATGTGACCTAATTGAATGAGTTCAATGGCTGCCTACTCCATACTGGCCCCTAATTTATTTTATGGATTACTTGAGTACACAACTCAAATAACTAACAACCAAACAAAAATGTTTGCAAGTCAGTTAAGGGTTTTTTTTCTATTAAATTATGTACCAGTGTGTTAGACCCAGCAGACAGATATGGTAAAAAAAAAAAGAAGACTAGTCCTCCAAAAATAAGTCTCTTTCTCATACTTTATACAATGGCATCCTTTAACTTTAAGATGTTCATTGCAACTACCTTGTGAATTAGGTCAAGTCAAATTAGAAAGGTTGTTGAAAGGAGATTCAAAATATCAGGAAAAACAGTCAGTGTCCGCATTTATGGCTCCCAGTGCCAAGGAAAAGGTTTAAAATTGGTAGTTTTGCTCTGACTAAGCCAAGCTCTCTAGAGGAATAGTTGAAATTAATTCATTATGAATGAAATTTTCATTATTAAGAATACCTAATTAATTCATAAAGTACTGTGTGATTAAATCTTTTAACTTAACAATACATATAAATAATCTTAAATAAAGGATTTAATTTTAATAATTAAATTAATATTATTACTTTTCTAAAATTCAAATAAAACAATAAATGTATCTAAATCATCTTCATTACTCGATTTAAAAAAAAAAATAATTGATCTACGAAAATGGCTTAAACTAAAAAAAGAAAATAAGAAAGAAAAAAATTACCGGTACTAAGAGAAATTAACAAAGCAAAAATAAAAAAAACAACTAAAAATAATAAAACTATGAATCAATCAAATAAACAAGGAGAAAAAACAATTTCAAAAAATAATTCTCATACTATTATTGTTATCACATTCGGCTTCGAAGCCATTTAATATGTACGGAGCCACTCCGGGTGCGAATTGTCATTGGCGATGATAGGTACCCGGGTACTTATAGATGCAGCCTTATCGATATGGCCCAGGCACTTTGTGAATTGAGGAGGGAAAGGTAAACATAAAAGAGCTTCTTCGCTTTTAGCAGACACGAACTAGGTATTGTAAAAGCATTATCAAAAAAATAATTTAAAATTCTTAATATAGAAACGTTAAATTTTTTCAGTTACCAGTGAGTTCGTTTAAATATAAATACAGTGTTATTAAGGGAATTTTTCACCTTTTAAGTTTATGTTGAGTAAAGAAAACTTTGTGAGTACAGTGACTGAGGTCAGTGAGTGAACTAAAAGTAAAGACTGTAACTGTAATTAAATTAAGTCTTAAGTGCATGAAAGTGAGAGTAAGAACTGTTAGTGTTACTGAAGTAAGTGTAAGAAAAAAGTTTAGGCAGGGCCGGCGCTTGGAGGGTGCGGGGCCTTGGGCTAATTGAATTTTGCGGGGCCGTTGACGTTGTATATCTGGCAGATAAAATATCTGGTCATAAATAAAATGGGATGTGTCATATTTGGTCACTCACCTCACCTAGTTTCTGAATATTGTGTTGCCATGCCCATAGTCCATACACAAAAAAGTCAAATTTTTTTACCCCTCCCTGTATTTGCATGAATTCTATTTTAAAAACACCCCCTATGCATACCTATGATGAGCTTTCTAGCCCCCCCCCCCCCTTCCAAAAAAACCCCCCAAATAAATCAATTTATTTATAAATACACAATTATGAGAAAAAAAAGTGTCACTTATTTTCACAGCTTTTTGGCATGAATAGTGATTCCTAAAACATGTGCCACATCACCCTTGGGCACCACGTTAAGGGCCATGCAAAAGGGGAAACACTTTATTTAATAAAAATGTTGTCGCTATCTTGAAGAAGTATACATTTAAAATTTGATATACCGGTAGCACAGGTTATGAAAACCTACATTTGACAAAGGCGCCGAAAATAAAACAAATTCTAGGAACCACTGACGTAGTTGAACAATATTTACTTACTAATTACCTCACGTGAATGGAAAATGCAAAAGAATTATCCCATAAATGATGGCAAGCTATTTCTGCAGAATCTTTTTCCCCTTCAACTAGATTTTATTAGAATAATGTAAATTTCCCAATGAACAAAGAGGGTTCCCACCCTGAAAGTAGACCAAGTGACTTTAGTTTATTCTTATTTTTTAATTGCTGCATTCCAGTTGTGTTTTTAATTCTTTCTTTAAGTCCATCTTGTTTAAAATCTAGTGTAAAATACTGTAACTGTCAAAAAATTTTGGTTTAAATATTGTCATCGACACTGTCAAAAGGTAATTAAAAGTAAAATGAATTTTATTTTGTTTTTTTCCCCAGCTGATGGACCCTGATGATTCAAAAACTGAAGCCTTGGTGGACATGAATGGGAAAGAGAACAAAGAACAATATGTTATTGTTGAAGGACATTCAACATCTCATGCTCGTAACAAAGATGACCGCATCATTAGGAAGGATAATGCTGAATGTGAACGAAAGCAGTCTCCGACTAAATTTAGGGTTCCTCTGCACTGTATGTAGCTTATAATATTTTTTAACTAAGTAGCAATGATAGTCATTTTCAACCTTCATAGGTACAAAGTCAGAAAGGTATGACAATATATGTTCCGTTTAAGAAAATTATTTACACACAGAAGTTATTTGTTACCACCACATCACATTATCATTTGAGCAAGCAATAAATTCTTATTTCATCGAAATAATTTATGATACAACAGAAATTGTCTTTTCATAATATTAATTTTAAAAAAAGAAACTTGGTTAAAGTTAACTCAAGTATTTTTCTTTTATAAGTATTCACCTATTCTGGACTTTTCAAATTTGCGGACAAGATAATAGAAAAGCGAGAAAAAAAATTATTATTTTTTAATTATTTGAAAGAACATGCTTCCGTTTGGGATTTAGGTTATGCTCAAGGTCAAATGATTGAATCAAAAGTTTTGTTGGAAGATTTACGGGTATTAACAAAACTTGATGGCATTGAATTTTAAAAATATTTTCGTCAAAAACAAGATTTAGGTAATGTCGGAATAATTTTGTTTCCAATTTCAGACAGCGAGGATGATGAAATTAATGATCTATACCGTGCAATACCGGAGGTGGCCAACCATTTCACAGTCACTTGTAAGATAGGGGAAGGTGAGAACATTTAAATTCATACTTAATAGTACTGCTGGGCATTGCAATCTGGATTAAAATTTTGTTTTCAGAATAGTTTAAATTAATTTCTTGTTTAAACTCTTTATCTCTAAGATGCATCAATAAATAAAATGATTACATGATAATAAAATTATTTCGCCTTTCCATCATTGTGATAGAATGTTGCAGTTTTACTTTCAATCGATCAATGTTTAAACCTAGGTAGCATTATTTATTTCTAGCCAACAAAGTGATCAAAATTATGCTTAGAGATTTAATTTTGTTTAATCATGAGATGACTTTCTTTTTTTAAATCCTTTATATTAACTTGGCTTTTTTGTTATTTGTTTCTGACAAAAATCTTAGGACAATTACAACACATTCTATCTAATTTTCAATCCCAGCCCCTAAAAATCAGTTTTACCAGTTTTTTAAGGGGAAGATGAAGAAAATATGATGAAAATGATTTAACGGAAAAAAAATTCCCAATAACTGCTTTAAATAAGATTCTTTAAAAAACAATATTGCAAGTGCGTTTGGTGCGTAATATTTTCTTTTGTTTTTCTGAAATGGTGAAATATATCTGCAGTGTAAAAGGGGGTGGTTCATTAAAATGTTAATATAGTTCAGGGGCGTGTAAAAAATGTGAATTTGCGAGCCAGGGGTGGGGGAGCACTAATTGGGATTCTCTTAAAGTGCATTATTTTTATCCATGTTTGGTCAAATTTTCAGCCCCACCCCATTGCTCGATTTTATAAAGCATCTTGACAAAAACTTTGTTTTTAGGGTTTGTTAAATTTAAATATTGTTTTTTAAATTCTTAGATCAATTAGGATAGCAATAGAAATGCTTTATTTCTGCAGGTGCATTCAGCTGTGTGTATTTAGCAAAACTCAAGCATTACCCCGAGGTCGTTGAAATGTTTGCTCTGAAACATATTATCCCAACAACCCACCCGTCCCGCATTGAAAATGAATTGACTTGTCTGCTGACTATAGGGTAAGTGTAAGTGATCGAGGAATTGGATATATGACAGTGCAGACCAAGGGTCAGCAACCTTTTATTTTTTAATTTTTTTTATTTAATTTTTTTTTTTTTGTGGAGCCATATTAGTCAAATCATACGATGTTTATATCTGTCTAGGATACATTTTGTGAGTCGGGTGTCATCACTGATTAGGAAGAAAAATAGTTCTACATCGCTGATTAGGAAGAAAAATAATTCTATCCAAGAGCCACAAGCGGCTCTAGAGCTGCAGGTTGCCAATCCACTGAACTAGAAATGTTTGAAAATATTGTACATTTTTTAAATAAATTTAATAGAATATTGTTGAACACATCTGTAAGATTTTAGCCATAAAGTACATTGCACAAGTATAAAAGCCATCCTAGTTGAATTTAGTTATATGTGATATGTTCTTGAATTTAGTTATATGGGATATGTTCTTGAATTTAATTCTATGGGATATGTTCTTGAATTTAGTTAGATGTGATATGTTCACGAAGGGGAAAACATTTTTCTAAGAAAAAAGGGTACAATGGGTTGGTGAATATCATTTCTGCTTTCATATCATTTGGGGTTGTCATGTTTTGGCTGAATAAACATGGATAGGATGACGTCACCATGAATTGTCAGGAAAGAAATAATTAAAAGAGTAAAAGTATACATTTTATTTTAAATTATTGGGCCTGTTTTAATTAACCCTACTTAACTTACCGGAATCAAGTTTAGAAACAACAAACATGATTTTGGAACCAGCCCAACTTGATAAAAGTATTTTCAACCACTGGCAAGCTACTATGCTTTGAAGATATTGAACATAGCCCATACTTACTATCAGTAGGCTGGCTGTTTTATCAATCAGCAGGTTATGTATAAATTATAAATAATAAATTCAAATATTGCTATCTGCTGATAAATGATAACTTTATATTTTACCTTGTTTATTTTCTCCAGTGGTTGTGACAATGTGATGGAAGTTAAACTCTGCTTGCGTAATCGAGACCATGTGGTTTTTGTGATGCCTGTATTTCTTCATGATAAATTTCAGGTAAGAATTTTTTAAATGTTCAGTGATAATTGTATTTTAATGTCATTCATGAATAGTCTTGTGGTTTTAAATGCATGCATTTCTAACCTGAATGCTAGCCCCCTGAATTTTAGTAAATGACACAACTCCAGTGCTTAGGCCGCTATGGGAAGACTGAAGACTCAATTATGGGATTTTAAAATGAAAATTGAATTTATTTCACATTTAAACTTAAAAGTTTTAGATGTTTTTCACCTTATTTTTTTCAGAATAGTCAGGACCAACTTTTTGGTGCAGTTTTCTGTGCACTTTATTTCACCATGTAATTCAAGAGTTTGCAAACAGTAAAAAAAAAAAAAATAAAAAATAAAAAAAAAATAAAAAAAAAAATATTTAACGATTGTTCTCAGACGATATCTACTTCTTCTTTTTCACTTTTCTACGTATTGATGTAACATAGACAGTCAACTGTAAAAATTATCGTTCCATGACTTCCGGTCACNGGGGGGGGGGGGGGGGGTTGGGGGTTTTTTTTTGGTGTTATTTAGAAATAAATTTTCATGAGGAAATTTGAATGCTTGCTTCATTGTTGTTTGCATTAATTTGCAATGTTCATTAGGAGTATCTCCATAACATGAGTGTCGACGAAGCCAGAGAATACATGCAGAATCTTCTTGTAGCTCTGAAACGAGTTCACCAGTTCAAGGTCATTCATCGCGATGTCAAGCCCTCTAATTTCCTCTACAACCGTCAGCATAAAAAGTATGTCAATGTTTTAAGTGAATTTAAACCACCTTTCAGCAGAGACATCACATTTCTGGGCAATGCCGGGCAGCTCACCAAGTCCTCTATATACCAGCACAACTTAAAATAGCTTTTCTGCCTTAAGTACATAATAAAAGTCATTTGACAGTTATTCATTTCAAGATTTCTGTTTAATATTCAAATAGATAGCATACCTTATTTAATATGTGGGCACTATTTGGTCAGATTCAATCCACTGTTTGCTCAATCCTGCTTGTCATTACAAACAAAACAGAATTCTAAATACCATAACTCCATTGCAGATTTGCCCTTGTAGACTTCGGTCTGGCATCCGGGCCTATTCTTAAAGACAGAGACGGCGAGAAGCAAGACAAAACTGCAACACATCCAAAGAAATCAGCAGACAATAAATCAAATTTTGCCATGCCCGACAACAAAAAAATGACGGTTCGTATTCCCTTGTCGCCTTCTAAACCGGACCCGACCGAGAACATTTTGGTTAACATTACTAAAGGTCCCGGAGGAAAGGTAACTGCCACTGTCCACAACCCTACAGAGTCTTAACAATTTGTCTTGTGTTAGGCCTAGCCAGTCTTTTACTATGCATGTTTGTACACTTAAGTTAAAAGAAAAATAGTGGAAACATTTATCTCACTACAGATCAATCATTTATAATCATTAATTTAATTTTAAGGTTTTATTTAGGGTCTAGTTGTCTGGACTGCAAATTAAATTAGTTTTACAGTGCTAAATATGGAAATGGTCACTGTTATATTTAGTGATAAATAATACCAGAGATGATGATTCAAAATGTGACTCATTTTAATATCCACATTCACAATATTCACAATAATAAATAAGTTTCACAGAAATATGAAGATACTTTGAATGACATCATACAAATTTTAATTCCTATTATACTTCCATAATATAATCCTATTTTACTTTACTTGATAATGTTATCAACAAAATATCATTACATAATCAACGATCCTCTCAAGTCCCCAAACTCTGTACATTACGCACAAGAAATATTAAGTCCATTACTTGTCTGCCATTGGTGGTTCACATATTCACAATGACATCTGTGACGGAAGTCTTATTTTGCTTGGAACCAATTCCAAACAGGCCACTGGCGGTAAAAAGAAGCAAAATATTGCTGGGACTGGGAAGCCGTTCACTTTAACCTTGCCGTCTACATCAGCGGCCTCAGTTCTGGCAGAAAATCAGAGTCAGTGTGGCTGTTATGGTAAGCCACAGATATGCAGCATCTGTTCAACAAGGTGGGTCTACGCTGCATGTTTCACACTTACTTAATGCTCACTGAGAAAATCATCTTGTCTGTCTTGAGTTATCCTAAATGGCCTCATTTTTTAAAAAAAAAGGGTTTTTAATTTCTTCTACTATTGAATCTTTAAAAAGACACAAAATTATTGCTCATGTGGGTCCAACAATATTATCAATTATTTTTTTTAATTAACATGGATTTTTTTAACAATTAAAATTTCATGTTATGTTATTACAATGAAATCTTATTTATAAAAGAGGATTTTTTTTAGAAAATCAAACATACTTTACATATATTGTACAGACAGAACCAGATAGCACCAAGAGCTGGAACTGCTGGCTTTCGAGCACCTGAAGTGTTAATGAAATATACAGGACAGGATACAGGTGAGGCCCGAACTTGACTTGGTGAGAGAACTGCTTGGCGCGGGGACCACGGTCAGAGAAAAAATGTCTGTTATGTATGTTCGTCTATCTAAATCGATCAAGGTCATTTTTATCATAGGATCCGTGCTGGTTCTGATTCTGTCTGTGCACACTCCAATGGTTGATGATTCTGGAACAAAATGTTCTTGTGCAGCAGGTGCAAGGGATAGATGGGACATCTTCAGGTGCTTCTGTTTAAAATGTTTAAGAAACTCATAATAGTAAATATAATATGTATATATAAGTAATATATATATGTGTTTGTGTGTGTAATTATGGGGCAAATGTTTTTTAATGAAGTAGGGCCGCATCCCCTGTATATGAATTTCTAAGGTTTCCATTGAAATTACAAAGATTATTATAAACCAGAACTACAGCAATATTGTGTATCATTTGGCCCAATGCAGGGGAGATAATACCATCAGTTTCTGTCTCACCACCCCTCCTGTGACAAATTTATTTTTTATTTTTCTCACTCTTGTATAAATCGGGTCTTTGAGTGATTAGCTCACCCTTACATAGATGGAGTGATTGAATTGTTATCTCACCCTCACATAGATGAGGTGATTGAATGATTAGGTCACCCTTACATAGATGGAGTGATTGAATTGTTATCTCACCCTCACATAGATGAGGTGATTGAATGATTAGGTCACCCTATCATAGATGGGGTAGTTGACTGATTAGCTCACCCTTACATAGATAGGGTATTGAATTGTTATCTCACCCTTACATAGATGGAGTGATTGAATTGTTATCTCACCCTTACATAGATGGAGTGATTGAATTGTTATCTCACCCTTACATAGATGGAGTGATTGAATTGTTATCTCACCCTTACATAGATTGGGTGATTGAATGATTAGCTCACCCTTACATAGATAGGGTATTGAATTGTTATCTCACCCTTACATAGATGGAGTGATTGAATTGTTATCTCACCCTTACATAGATTGGGTGATTGAATGATTAGCTCACCCTTACATAGATAGGGTATTGAATTGTTGACTGATTAGCTCACCCTATCATAGATGGGGTGGTTGACTCATTAGCTCACCCTTTCATAGATGGGTTGGTTGACTGATTAGCTCACCCTATCATAGATGGGGTGGTTGACTGATTAACTCACCCTTTCATAGATGGGGTGGTTGACTGATTAGCTCACCCTTTCATAGATGGGGTGGTTGACTGATTAGCTCACCCTATCATAGATGGGGTGGTTGACTGATTAGCTCACCCTATCATAGATGGGGTGGTTGACTGATTAGCTCACCCTATCATAGATGGGGTGGTTGACTGATTAGCTCACCTTTATATAGATCAGATGATTTTTTTTTTTTTGTATTTAAATAAAATATTGATCCTTCTTTTTTAATATTCCTTATCAAGCTTATATTCAACCTTTCTGCTCAGATCATTCAATAACCTGTCTTTATGAGGTTTCTATTGGTTTTTACACCATGTTCTTTTTAATAAAACATCTCTCTCCCCATGGCAAGTGTTTTTTCCTGGCTTTCACACATTTTAAAGTTACTGCTATACTAAGAATAGTTTCATTTTTTTTTTAAATTTGCACAAACCATTTTCATTGATTTCACCCTAATTCTATCTTTGCCTGCAGGTGTGGACATATGGTCAGCTGGTGTGATTCTCCTCTCCATTTTGTCGGCTCGGTATCCATTTTTTCGTGCTCAGGACGACATTGGCTACCTGGCACAGATCATTGCCATTCTGGGCTCTCATGCCTGCATCAAAGCTGCTTCAGCCATAGGTCAGTGGTGGGGAAAAACAATTTTGTTTTCTAATTTCTTATAAATTCATATTTCAGGTAATGTTTGACCCCGTTGTTTTAAATTATTGACATCTGATAAATATAACACAATATATAATCTTATAAATGTTAACAAGGAAATTACCATTATATCTGTTACATCAATATTTAATGAATTCAATAATGCTTTCAAACTCGTTTAGTTTTAAAACGCTTAGGGCCTTTTCAAAATGTCAGATAGAAGGAAGCAGATGAAACTCTTCATGACTAGACAATATGACCCAGTGTTACGCTGTGTTTCGTTCTTACTTCCGTTTGACGCTCTGTACTTCAAACCTTACGGTTGTTGTTTATGTTTCTGAAACCATTTCCTTACTTGACCACACACACAGCCATGCTCATTCATATCTAAGATCAACAACCAATCTTGAATTGAAATAATGATGATTCTTTATTGTTTGTAACAACTGGTATTTTACAAAAACATTCTTGACTAAACATTCTTCAAGACACCACCTCTTGTCTTCAGACCGCTCTCATCTGCACTGATTAACTAGCCTGGACCTTCTCATGACAATGTTTACTCGGCACATTCCCTCGACCAGTCACAAATCGCCCTCACAAAACCTCTGACCAACTCACAAGCAACAACTTTCTTAAACAAACATTGTAATAATGAAAGGTATATTGCACTACTTTCCCTCTGCTATTGCCAGGTCTAAACATTTTTTTAAAAATCCAAGTTTTTCTTATGTAACTGAATTAGGTTTTGACGTATTATAATATTCTCAATAAAGAAATTACAACAATTTTCAATGCCCTTGGAATTTATAGTTAGGAAACAGTAAATCAGACCTTTGTTATTTTGTAAAGAAGTATCTCTGTTTACTTTTCTTACAACATAGTGTTTTGAGATATATTTTTGTCCCTTCTCTATAATATAGGACTGCTCAACCCCTTTTCATGCCTCTGAAGTACAAAGAAAACAAATTTTCAAAAAATTTTAAAACCTTGTCCTTAATTTTTTTAAAAATCTATATATCATTTTAAATATCTAGAATATGAAAAAATTTTGATATATTTGTATCTCATTAAAAATGTGCTCAGTCTTGAACTATATTATAAAAAAAAGCATTAAAAAAACAGAATTCTAAAATCTAAGGAATAATCTCTTAACCAGTTTTCATGCCTGTAACATCTTGTGTTTTGTAAGAAATTTTCTTCATAATTTATTAATATCATAAAATTGTCGATGCCCCCAAATTCCCCTAAACTATAGGCCTATATTGCGCAAAATGAAAAAAAAATATTTCCTTATTTTTAAAGATCTTAACCTCTATTTGTTAAACCCCCCTGAAATGTGTGTATCTATTTTAAAGATTAAATTGTAATGTCTTTAAAATTATTGGGTTTTCCCATCATTGTCTAAAACGGACCATTTATTTTCCAGAGGATTTTCCTCTCCCTTGTATTGAGCAGGTTCTCTGCTTTTTTGGTAAGGGACCAAGTCTCATTAGCGTAAGATACTACTGGTGTTATGATAGTAGAGTGTATGGCCTTCTTTGTTTACCTTGAGAGGTTTTTGCTTTCTAGTGGCTATTGTAGGTTGAATAGTAACAGTTGTCTGCTGTTATCCTTTCTTTCACCCCCATCATTTGCTTATCCTAGATATTTGAAAGTAGCCATTTGTCTCAAATTTGTGCTTGTTTATTTTGATGTTGTCAACAGTTCGGGTGTTTTCTTTACATTACCATAGACCATTTATTATTGTTGACCCATGGGCCTGATTTACATTTCGCACACAAGTTCAGCTCTATTCATGTAATTATTGCAGGTAAAAATCTTCTGGTCAGTGAACACATAGAGCCAGTTGATCTAAAGACGGCTTGTACAAAACTGCGTTTGTCCCAGATGTCATTTAAACTTGGGCCCAGCAGTCAGAATAACAAAGTGATCCAATCATGGATGGACATTTCGGATGAGCCTTTCGATCTGTTGTCCAAGATGCTGGACCCCAATCCACTGACAAGGATCACAGCAGAGGATGCGCTCAAGCATGAGTTCTTTACCAATCATCAGCTGTTCAAGTCTTGATGGTTTGTTTAGCATAGTGGACAATCAGTATTGGTGCTTTGTACAAGTTCAGTTGGTACATTAATTGTCTGGATTTATCAAGATTTATCAAGATCCTTTAAACAATTATTTATTAGTATATGACAATTTTTAATCTTTTTTTTTTTTTTTTTTTTTTTTTTCCTTTTTTTTTTTTTTTTTTTGTCTGGATTTATCAAGATTTATCAAGATCCTTTAAACAATTATTTATTAGTATATGACAATTTTTAATCTTTTTTTTTTTTTTTTTTTTTCATTCCCATTTGTTATGTTACTTTTAAGCTTAGATAAAATTAAAAAATTAAACTTCGGATTGATGATGATTAATTTTTTGTCAATTTGTGGGGCTACACTAAATTGAAGATTCAGTTGTGGGACTGTGATTGTTAAAAATGTTAGCCTGAAAGGTATAATGAGCTATTTTTGTGATGGTTGTACGACACTTGACATTACTTTGATGAGTACCAGAATGAGACACTTTTAATGTTTTTATGGCAGGTTTTGATCCTGAATAATTTGAATGAAATCTTGTAACAAATTTACACGTTCAATCTGATTTCTACTATTTTTTCTTTGTATCATCAGTATATTATTTATTCATGGACTGTCACCATACATAATGCCTTTATTTTTTATTATTTTATGGAAAGAATTATTTCCCAAAAATGTAGTTTTCACTGCGCCATTAAAATGTAATGAAGGAAAAACAAATGTTGATCTGTTTACATTTTACAGCTTTTAACTTTTTTTTTTTAATACCGGTAATGATATTTTTTTATCCCGATAAAGCCATTCTCTGCATTGGGAATAATAGCTTAGAATTGATGAAACTTATGAAAAACTCTTTGATGTACCGGTATTTGATTTCTCAAGTTTTCCTTAAGTTAAGATCATGTTATTTGTTTAGATAAACATGTCAGGGATTTCTATAGTATTAAACTAATTGTTTTGTTCTTTTTAAAAAATATACAAATGATATACTCTTTTCTTGCATCGGAATCACATTGCATGGAATAACTTACACTTGTTAATTTTCAATTGACCAATCTCATTGTTAAACTCTGGTCAGAATGCCAATCCTTTAAGTATCTCTCTCAGATAATATCACAGTAAAGCAGTTTGTACAGCCACTTGCCAAGAAATGATCTTATCACTGCATCAAGATATAAAATAGACTGGTCCGTCAGGCATCAAGATTTCCATTGATATGGTCCGGCCCTTCACAACTGTGGAATAGTTGTAATTAGTTTGATTGCTAGGCCTGTATCCCAAGATTATACATTTAATATTGAACCCGCTAATAGCCTCCAAACCTTCAGAAAAATAAACGACCTCTTGACACAATCAGATTTAAATGTCTCCCAGCATTTTTTTAATAATAAACTTATTCTTCTTATATTTGAGGAGCCCACGATCAATTTGTTGATCATTCTGGCTCCTGGTTTAAATTCAGAGTTTGGCTTCTCTTAGATGGGTTGCCGTCCAAGGCTAACGAGTCCCATCCACCCCAGGGTGCTTGGGATGTTGGCTTTGGTGGGGATTGAACTCCAGACCCCCAGCTATTTGGTTTGAGACAGTTTAGACTGCTCGGCCACCCAGCACCCAACTCATCAAGGAACCAAGTGCAACACAGCATTTTGGAAATATTTTGACACTGAGGCTTCTGAATGATTTTCAATACATCTATTTAAACTGAGCGTCTATCTTGATTCTTGGTCATTCACCCAGCAGCTGCAAGTTGTCAGGATATTTGTTGTCATGTCCGTTAGCTTTGTACCGACACGTCGGTAAACGCATGCTTTCTTCCCTATGGCCAACCACAATAAAAGAATAAACTCTAAACATATGCTTTCTTCCCCATGGCCAACCACAATAAAAGAATAAACTCTAAACATATGCTTTCTTCCCCATGGCCAACCACAATAAAAGAATAAACTCTAAACATATGCTTTCTTCCCCATGGCCAACCACAATAAAAGAATAAACTCTAAACATATGCTTTCTTCCCTATGGCCAACCACAATAAAAGAATAAACTCTAAACATATGCTTTCTTCTACATGGCTAACCACAATAAAAGAATAAACTCTAAACATATGCTTTCTTCTACATGGCTAACCACAATAAAAGAATAAACTCTAAACATATGCTTTCTTCTACATGGCTAACCACAATAAAATAATTGCTCAAACTAATATAACATACAACTGTCATCAAGGTATCATCCTTAGCATCATTTACGTCATGTTGTGATTTGATTCATGTTCCTAATAATTTAAACATCTCCATAGAGCTGCCATTCCAGCCACTCTTTTAATCTAGAACTCCTGGTCCTTATTACACTCTTTATGCATTATAAGGCTGTCATACTTGTATTAATGAACTGTTATGTATTATTTAATGTCAGCAGCAGGAGCTTGAGATATATCCTCATATTACTTTTCTTTTTAGTGACAGTGACAGGAGCTTGAGATTTATCCTCATATTACTTTTCTTTTTAGTGACAGCGACAGGAGCTTGAGATTTATCCTCATATTACTTTTCTTTTTAGTGACAGCGACAGGAGCTTGAGATTTATCCTCATATTACTTTTCTTTTTAGTGACAGCAACAGGAGCTTGAGATTTATCCTCATATTACTTTTCTTTTTAGTGACAGCGACAGGAGCTTGAGATTTATCCTCACTAACACTAATGACAGTGACAGGTTGATTTTTAATGTGAGAATATATTATTTATTTATAGCTCTATGATGGTGAAATGCTCAGTTATTTGAATGTGACCTCAAGGAACATCAAAATAATAGCAATGGTATTGCTGTGTATGTTGCGCAGTGTTTATCATCTGCTGGTGATGAACAAATGTTTTTATCACTAGCATTTTATATTTTTTTTACATTCATTTAATTAATTCTCTGCTTAATTTCTTTTGGTCTAATGACATGGATAGAAATGTCGAGAATTTTGTCTTGAATGTTTTTCTTTGACCTCCTGTGAGCACTTTGGGCTACCAATGTCATGTACACATGTCATCTCTAACTGGACCTGTTGGCCAATATGACTTCCTGTGGGAACTTTGGGCTACCAATGTCATGTACATAATATCATCTCTAACTTGAACTGTTTACCAATATGACTTCCTGGGAGCACTTTGGGCTACCAATGTCATGTACATAATATCATCTCTAACTTGAACTGTTTACCAATATGACTTCCTGGGAGCACTTTGGGCTACCAATTGCATGTACATATATTGTCTCTAACTTGACATGTTTGCCAATATAAATACAACCCACAGAAAAAGGCTGTCTGTGGTTGATACAGATTTAGATTAAAATTACAAGAAAAAATACTTTTCAACTCTGATTAATAACTTTTATGACTGTTATTGTTGGAGTTTAATCAGTTAGGTAGTTCTTGACGAAATATTTTATGAAATTTTAAATAGATTTATTTCTCAAATGTGCTTAGGAAACGTTATAATCAGGTATCCAAATGATTAATTATCATCTCATTTTATTTAGCAACTAGTTAGTTCCCCAGCTATTACATGTTAATGATCGCTGTCCCCAATTGATATGTAAACACACTACTGTAAGGTGATTATCCACCTAAATTGTGGAACAGTTTGTCTCAATCTTTGGGGGAAACTGAAAATGATTAAAGGTCATTTAAGAAACATTTAAAGATTTTTTTTCTTTAAATAGATTTAAGGACATCAGAGCGCTGTGAGCATGCTAAAATAGCATGGACTCAAGTGCTATAAAAGTACTCAATCATCATCAGAGTGCTGTGAGTGTGCTAAAATAGCATGGACTCGAGTGCTATAAAAGCACTCAATCATCAGCAGAGCGTTTTGAGTGTGCTAAAATAGCATGGACTCAAGCACTATAAAAGTACTCAATCATCAGTACAAGGATGTTACTTTAGGAATTTTCTTTATTTTTATTTGCTGTCAAAACATATTTTTTTTACTCGGCATTACCATGGGCATTAGAATAATAGCTTGTTGAAACCTAGGACGTTTTGAAACACTTGGGTTGTCTGAATGTTGACTTTGTGGGCATGTTGAAACACATGGGTTTGTCTGAATGTTGACATGTTGAAACATGGGTTTGTCTGAATGTTGACATGTTGAAACAAATGTGTTTGTCTGAATGTTGACGTGTTGAAACACATGGGTTGTCTGAATGTTGACATGTTGAAACACATGGGTTTCTGAATGTTGACATGTTGAAACACTTGGGTTTGTCTGAATGTTGACATGTTGAAACACATAAGTTGTCTGAATGTTGACATGTTGAAACACATGAGTTGTCTGAATGTTGACATGTTGAAACACATGAGTTGTCTGAATGTTGACATGTTGAAACACATGAGTTGTCTGAATGTTGACATGTTGAAACAAATGTGTTTGTCTGAATGTTGACGTGTTGAAACACATGGGTTGTCTGAATGTTGACATGTTGAAACACATGGGTTTCTGAATGTTGACATGTTGAAACACTTGGGTTTGTCTGAATGTTGACATGTTGAAACACATAAGTTGTCTGAATGTTGACATGTTGAAACACATGAGTTGTCTGAATGTTGACATGTTGAAACACATGAGTTGTCTGAATGTTGACATGTTGAAACACATGGGTTGTCTGAATGTTGACATGTTGAAACACATGGGTTTGTCTGAATGTTGACATGTTGAAACACATGGGTTGTCTGAATATTGCCTATGTGGGCATGTTGAAATTGAAAGACATGGGTTGTCTGAATTTGGCCATGTTAAAACACAGGGGTTGTCTGAATGTTGACACGTGGAAACACAGGGATTGTCTGAATGTTGATATGGCTACTTCCAATTACTGCTGGTTCGAATTCAAATGTTTATAAATACATCAAATTAAGTTGGTGTCTAACACCAGCTTAAAGCTTTGGTGTCTAACACCAGCTTAAAGTTTTGGTGTCTAACACTAACACCAGCTTATAAAG